ATTCTACCTTAGTCTCTTTCCTATGGTGGTTTCAGCCGATTTAAGAATTCTATATTCATTCTTAAATAGAGAACATATCAACCATTTTCATCTTCTTAGTTTCCTTCTTTTACCCTACCCCCTCTCGTATGTGATCTCCCCTCAGTGTGACCAGTTTTTCATAATACTCCTGTATTTATATTGGGTTAATATTCCTCATATGAGAAAGAACATGCAGCTTTTGGCTTTCTGAGCCTGACTAATTTCACTCAAGATGATATTCTCCAGTTCTGTACATTTACCTGCAAATGATACAATTTCATTCTTCTTTGTGGCTTAGTAAAATTCCATTGTCTATAAATACCACATTTTCCTAATCCATTCGTCAATAATGGGGCATCTTGGCTATTTCCACACCTTAGTTATTGTGAATAGTGTTGCAGTAAACATGGGTGTTCAGGTGCCTTTGTTGTAACCTGACTCACATTCCTTCAGGTATTTCCCTGGGTGTGATATTGCTGGATCATATGGCAATTCTACTTTTAGTTTTTTGAGGAGCCTCCATACTGTTTCCATAGTGGTTGTATGAATTTATATTCAGCCCCCCAGTAGTGTATGAGGGTCCTTTTTCCCCATGTCCTCACCAACATTTGTTGTCATTTGTGTTCTTGATGGTAACTATTCTGACAGGAGTGAGGTGGAATCTTAATGTGGTTTTGATTTGCATTTCCTTTATGGCCAGGGATTTTTTTTTTTTTTTTTTTTTTTTTTTTTGCCATTTGGACGTCTTCCTTTGAAAAGGTTCTGTTCAGTTCATTTGCCGATTTCTTCTTTGGGTTATTGAATTTTGGGGGGAGTTTATAGTTTTTTGAGGTTCTCTACCTCTTGAGCTACACCTTCTTATGCACATGTGCATATACACATGTATGTAAAAAGTGACTTATGCACTTTTTAAGATTAACTCCTTAAAAAGTTAATCTTTAAGATTAACTCTTTCTTCATTAAAGAACAAAAAAGAAAATACCTTCCAGCAACTAAAAGCTAAATATATGAATAACAAATAAGGTATAGATATCAACAGCTGTATATCTTTACATTTCAGGAAATAAAGTCTTGATAGCTCTAAAAATGACAGTCATAATATTAAATCGAATTTACTTTTCCTATTTATTTATATATGCTACAGTATAAGAACAAAGAGCCCTGGGGAAAGGCCTTCTTGAGTAGACTCATTATTCAACTGATAGATTCCTTTTCTTCTCCTTTGCCTCCTCCCCTGCTCCTTTTCTTGTTTTTGGCTGTGACTGGTTCCACTGTTTTCCTCTTCATCTCTGTGGAGATTTTCTCAATGCCTGGAATACTTTGAGCAATTGGTGACAATTGGGTCTCAGTTTGTTCAGCACATTTGCACTTACTTTGCTTCCTCATCTTTTTTCCCTTTTATTCTTCATTGTCATTGCCCTTATGATCGCCATTTCATATTTACAGAATATTTTAATGTTATACATTAAATCATAAATTCAAACCTATACAATATTGCACTAAAATTTATGTGCCGTAGTGTTGGGCCTATGAATAAATAAATGTGTCTGAGCCAACAGTGCCTGTGGGCAATAAATGCTTTGCATAAATTGTACAGGCACACATGAATGAATATGCTCAATAAATACCCCTTGTTCTGCAGGGATTCATTATTCATCTGGTGTTCTTAGGAAGTAAACTGTAAGTCCAATGGTATTTTTCACTTAGCATCCTTTTTCACAAATGATAATGATTTATTTTAGAAATAAAAGCTAGTTTTTGGAGGGTGAGGTCAAGTATAGTATATTTGATACATTGTAAGAACTTTTGTAAATGTCACAATGTACCCCCACCCAGCAAAACAATAAAAAAAAGTTAGCTTAGTCTCTTGATGTTATTGTTACATCAGGAGGATTGCAGTTTGAAGCCAGTTGGGCAAATAGTTTGAGAGAACCTATCCCAATAAACCCTTCACAAAAATAAGGCTGGAATCTACATGTTTAATGCAATTCCTATCAATGACATTCATCACAGAGATTGAAAATCTACCCCAAAGTTCATTTGGACCACAAAAGACCATGAATAGCCAAGGCAATACGAGCAAAAAGAGCAATGCTGGAGGTATCACAATACCTGACTTAAAACTATACTACAGAGCCATAACAATAAAAACAGCATGGTAGTGGCACAAAAACAGATATGAAGATCAGTAAAACTGAATACAGAACCCAGATATGAATCCACACAGCTATGCCCACCTTATTTTTTACAAAGGCGCCAAAAGCATACAATGGAGAAAAGACAGCCTCTTCAACAAATGTTGCTGGGAAAAGTGCTTATCAGCCTGCAGAAAACTGAAAAGAGATCCATGTCTATCACCTTGTACTAGTATCAACTCAAAGTGGATTAAGGACCTTTATATCAGACCGGAAACCTTACAGTTAGTAGCTGGTAATATTGTGGAAGCAATAGGTATAGTAAATAACTTCCTCAGTAGAACTCCTGCAGCCCAGCAACTAAAAGAAAGGATGGACAAATGGGACTACATGAAATTAAAAAGCTTCTGTACAACAAAAGAAATGGTCTCTAAAGAGACCACCCACAGAGTAGGAGAAAACGTTTGCTGATTATACAACAAAGGACTGATAACCAGAATATACAGGGAACTCAAAAAACTAAACTCTCCCAAAATCAATGATCCAATAAAGAAATGGGCAACTGAACTAAACAGAACTTTTGCAGAATGTGCATGGGAGAAATAGGGAAAGGGAACCTAAAACTTAAATGTGGTTTATGTGCTCACTGTAAAGGAGTGAATATAGTAATCTTAAACTGGCAGAGGCCACTATGGAAAGGGGACCAGGAAATAGTGAAGAGGTCTGGTAGAGATGAACCAATGTGGGTTGTAATACAAAGTGCATGGAAGCAATGCTAGGAATCTCTCTGTTTAACTATCTTTATCTCAAATTAGCAAAAACTGCTATGTCTTTCTTATCGCTTATGTTTTCTCTTCAACAAAATTGGAAAACAAGAGAGCAGAACAGGTTCTGCCTGGAAGAGGGGTATTGGGCTGTCTGGGGAGTGGTCCAAACAATGTATACACATATAAGTAAATGTAAGAACGATAAAATAAAAGAAAGAGAAAAAAATAGGGCTGGTGGAGTGGCTCAAAATGAAGGCCCTGAGTTCAAGCCCCAGTACCACAAAAAAAAAAAAATCCAAAGTATGCACATATTCTTTGCTTAATGTTTGTAATTCTCTTTAAGGTATAGAATAATATCCATATCTTTTTTATTCCTTGTAATTTCTTTGTTGAGGAAATCAAGGTGTTTGTGGATACTGTAGTTACCCATAGTCCAGATTTTTCTGATTGCTTCTCTATAATTCTGCAAATGTGTTCCTCTCTCCTCTAGATTGGTGGGTGGATGTAGAGGTGACTGGATCAAATTTATGGTTTTTTTTAAGTTATAGTTTTGTTTTGCTTTTGTTAAGATTATGCCATATTCTTTTGTCAGGAGTTTTTAATGTATACTTGACTTTCCTATTTTGTCTTTTATTGTTGTTTTCATTTTATTATGTTTTATAATTCCTAGTAAAGTTATAACTTTTTATTAACATATATTAAATTGTATATAGTAAGAGGTATCATCAAGACACTTCCATGCATGGATATAATGTACTTTAATTATCTTAGTCTCCTCTATTACTCTTTCCTATCCCCACTCCTCCCTCCCATCTTTCCAAGTAATAATTTCTCCTAATTTTTAAAGTGGTTTGGGTATTAAGCCACTGACACCTTTTTCTAGCTTGGCTGTGGAAAAAAGGATTATTATCTTGTGGTAATGTGGAAGATTCAGAAAAGCAAAGAGAAGTGTTTGGTTTTTGTGGATAAAAGTAACTTGGGCTGAGTAAGAAAACAAAGAATGAGATCTTTAGGGATGGGGAGTAAAGGAAGGAGAAGAATGTAAATAATATGACAACACATGGAATAAAAGGGATCGTTGAAGGAACAAAATTGCTAAGAATTCAAATGTAATTGAAAACAGATGGGCAAGAAAAACTTTGGTAGGGGAAAGGTAAAGATGACTATAACTGCAGATAAGTTTTTGTGTTAAGGGGATACATTTTCTTAAGAGAATTTATATTCAATCATGGCTGTTTTAAAAGTGAAATAAATAAGAAACAAGGTCAACTGATTATAGGGGGAGGAGAAGCGCACATTTGAGGAAAGTGATAAAGGTTTGAATAGGTATTGAAAAGGACAATGCAAGAAAAGGTTGACTAGAAAAAGGAGAGATTATAGAGTAAAAAAATGAGATTATAGAGTAGCATTGAGGGTAGAGTTGAGATTGGGTATCAATTATTTGTAATGTCCTGAGTCAGTAAAATTAGTGATTGTCTCCAGCTATGCTAATCAATCTGAGAATAAGAATTGAAGACATAGGGACTATGAGAGGGAGTTTAAACCCCAGTACTTCCAAAAACAAGAAAAAGAAAGCATAGATGGCTATGTAAATCATTAAGGATTTATGGGGCTTAGGTATTGACAATGCTGTTATGAGCAGTTTGAGTTGAGCAATTTAGCATTTGGAGTACAAGTCAGACAGAAACCATCTGTAGAAGAGGAAGGAGCTGGGGATCAAAACCAATTCCCCTTGGTATATATACCACAGAACAATTAAATGCCCTCAGAATTCCAGAATTGGATAACTGCTTTATAGCAGGTTTAATGAAAAGCATATTCTCTCTCATAGCAATGGGTTAAATATATATTCCACCATGAATAGAGCGTTGTACTCAAGCCTCTCGATTCTGTATTTTTGCCACAGTAACAACATAAATACAAGGCTATTTTATTGGTGTATAAAGCCAATTTTATGGGTGTGCAAAGTTTTAAATCAGAGCAAACTTTAATGAGAAAACAATAATTCTTATTTTCATTTTCTTTTTAGGGTAAGCATCTACTTACTCCAATTTTACTTTTTCTTTCCTGTTTTCAGAAGCCCTGTAAATGAAGAAAATCAGGATGGTGTCATGCACTCTGATGGTAAGAGACAAAAATTTATTTTTTTATCTCAGGTATAAAAGTTTGAATCATTCTCATAGTGTCATTATCATCACTAGCTTATGCAAGACCCCTTTTTGTTTTCATATGTCTTGGACTCTCCATGGCTCAGTCACTTACTTTTCCTCCTTTACCATAGACAAATGTTCTAATGTTTATATGTATTCTTTGTATATTGTCATGTGAATACATGTACATAATTTCCATAAACAGTATGTCATGGGTTACTCTTTTTTTTTAACTCTCATCCTAAGGTATTTTTTGAGTCCCTCCTTGTCACCATGTGTATATATATTCTGTGCCATTAACCATTACACAGTGTGCCTTGGCATGCATCCACGTTTTAACTCCTTTTCATGGGTACCATAAAAAATACAGTTCACCTTTTTGTGATCCCCACATGGACTTCTGAAAGACTTTCTGTAAGGTGCTATTCGGCAGTAGAAAGACTGGTTATAAGCTGTGGAATACTTGTTTTGGTTGAATAGGACTAGAATGCTCTTCAGAGTAGATGTATCTCTCTATATTCTTTTTTTTTTTTTGTATCAATAAAACATAAATTTAGTTTTTTTTTTCTTTTTCTTTTATTATTCATATGTGCATACAAGGCTTGGTTCATTTCTCCCCCCTGCCCCTACCCCCTCCCTTACCACCCACTCCGCCCCCTCCCTCTCCCCCCAACCCCCTCAATACCCAGCAGAAACTATTTTGCCCTTATTTCTAATTTTGTTGTAGAGAGAGTATAAGCGATAATAGGAAGGGACAAGGGTTTTTGCTGGTTGAGATAAGGATAGCTACACAGGGCATTGACTCACATTGATTTCCTGTGCGTGGGTGTTACAAACTTCTAGGTTAATTCTTTTTGATCTAACCTTTTCTCTAGTTCCTGGTCCCCTTTTCCTATTGGCGTCAGTTGCTTTTAAGGTATCTGCTTTAGTTTCTCTGCGTTGAGGGCAACAAATGCTAGCTAATTTTTTAGGTGTCTTACCTATCCTCACCCCTCCCTTGTGTGCTCTCGCGGCACTATTCACAATAGCCAAGTTATGGAAACAGCCAAGATGCCCCAGCACTGACGAATGGATTAAGAAAATGTGGTATCTATACACAATGGAATTTTATGCAGCCATGAAGAAGAACGAAATGTTGTCATTCGCTGGTAAATGGATGGAATTGGAGAACATCATTCTGAGTGAGGTTAGCTTGGCCCAAAAGACCAAAAATCATATGTTCTCCCTCATATGTGGACATTAGATCAAGGGCAAACACAACAATGGGATCTGTCTATATTCTAATTAACAGGGCTTAAAGGTTCCAACATGCCTGTCTTTTACCAGTGCATGACATCCTTTCCAATGTTTTATTAGTCTTATATGTTATAAAATTATTACTTAAATTTTCATATTTTAATTCATATTAATTTTCATTTCATAGTTTTTCTTTCTTGCTTTTTTTTTTTTTTGGCAGCACTGAGGTTTGAACTCAGGGCCTCAGACTTGCCTCTTGAAACACTCTACCAGCCCTTTTTGTGTTGGGTATTGTCAAGATAAGGTCATGAGAACTATTTGCCCTGGCTGGCCTCCAACTTCACTTGTTTCAATCTCAGCCTCCTAAATAGCTAGGATTACAGGCATGAGCCACTGACACCCACTTCCTTTTTTATTCTTGAGGTTGAATGCTTCATTTGCCCATAAGACTTTGTGTTTTCTTCTTTTTAAAATCGCCAGTCTCTATCCTTTGACCATTTTTTTTAACTTGGAGTGGTGTCCTTTCCTCCTTGCAAGAGTTCCTTTATATTCCAGACGTCAAACTCATGTTGATTTCCAACACTGCAAATGTCATCTCCCCTTCTGCCCATTGTCTATTAATGTCATGCTGTCATTCCATGAATGTAAATAAATTTCATTATAATCAAATTAATTAATTTTTGCTTTATAATTTATGCTTTTTAAGTTTTGTTTAAGAAGTCTCTGCTCTTAGGAAATAAAAGTGTTCTCTTATTTTTTTCTATGAATTTTGTTACATATTTTGGTCTTTGCCCTCTTTACAGTCTTGCTTTGAAAACTTGGTAGAAATCTAGATTTGTTGCCTCATATAAGGAATTTTCTCTTTACCGTATTCTAAACCATCCACCTTTTTTCATCCACCCTATACTATATCAATTCTTTATGTGTATGTATATCATAAGTATGTATTTGTACATTTGTATGTGTTACAGAGCTCTCTGGTCTATTCTATTGGCCTATTCATCTGTTCTTATACCAACACTACACTATTCTCACTATAATTGCTCATAATATTATATTGTTGCTTTTAATATTAGAATATGTCTTAATATGTGGTACAGACATTCCATTAAATTTTTGAGCAACAAAATATTTAAAAAATCTAATTAACATGATTTGTTTGATACATGAAAGCAAACCAAATGAATCAAAACATGTGAACTACTTGGGTTTTTCTATAATACTTTGCTCCACAAAAGCCCAAAAACCAAATGTACATAAATGGAATAAAAGGTGCCTTAATTATTTTTTGGCTTCTGCATTATTTTATGAAATCCAATAAAATGATTTTATAATCAAGTTACAGTAACAAAAATCCATTGCAAAGAACTAAGGCACACGTTCTATTTCATACTTTTATGTCTTTGATAAACCATTAGTTGTACTAGATTACCAACTGTTTTTGATATTATTGTATCCAATAGTCACACATTAAAGTGTTTCTTAATTAAAGTGCATTAAATTAATTCTTTTTTAATCCTTTAGGTGCTGGAAATCTAGAGGAGGTCAGATATTTTTTATTTCTCTTCTTTAATTATATTGCTAAAATTATAATGTTTAACAATTATTGCATTTCACTTCTTATTGGTATAAACTAAACAAATACAAATTTTTAGAAAAAGTGGTGATATCTTTCAATTTTAACCTTATTTCATGTAAAATTCTTGAGACAGTAGACACCAATCAGTACACTGACTCCTAGTAATTTTATAGTGCTGAACTCCTGTCTATAACTGCACATCTGGACAACATAGCAAAACAAAACATGAAATCTTTTCATGCTTGCTTTCCTAGTCTATCTCACAACACACGCACATACACAATTCAGACAAGCCAAACTTACATATGCTTAAATTACGTCAACTCATAAGTACTTGCTTAATGAAATAGTTTATCAATGAAATATGCATGTGTTTCTTTTTTGAATAGTCAAAATTAATCATTATGTATGTTTTTCTTGACAGGATCAAGAAAGTGAAGGAGAAACATATGAAGACATGTATGAATTATATTTCTAAAATAATAGTTTTCTCTAAGATGAATATAAGGTTTTGTAAGAGGAAGAAAGGGTATACAATGACACTAGAAAGGGAAAACTTTATTTATTCAAATGACTGACATATAATGACAACCCTTATTTTGATGTAAAGGACTAAAATTTATTTTCTTCTCTGAGTCCTTCCACAGAGAACTCTGCTAACTTGCTATCATGTGAGAAGCCAGAGACCTGCAGACCACTAGAGAGACTACAGGCAGGGAATCAAACAAGAAATCTGTATTTCTTGCTCTTGATGTATCTTTAAGCAAATGAATTAATTTATGGGTTATACCTTCTTCACCTGGACACAGGGTCACTGTGAGATACAGTTTAACATAGCACCCAGATCCCAAAGTTCCAGCCCGATGAAAAATGCCTCCAAAATAGATTTCTATGTGACAAAGAAATTTCTTGGAAAGTGGGTAAAGTAGAAATGAACTCTTTTTAAATCATATGTTGAGTTCAGGCATCTTAATTTTCTCTATGTAGTTCTTATTCAACCAATTCTGACTAAATGTTCTGAATGTGTGCAAAGTGCCTGCATGCATGCTTAGGCATGCCTGTGAAAGAGAGATTAATAATTCTCTTGACGCCAACATGCAAGAAGGACAGGGCTTTTCTGATCAGTGTCTTCCACTTGCTGGCACAAATTTTAAGGGGCAGCAACTTGAGATGTCACTGGAAGGTAACCTACTATCAAAAAAAAAGTCTTGCTCAGCCAGGATTTTGACAAACCTTGGCTTTTTGCCTTCATCTATAGTTCATCTGTGCTGGGCAGAAACTTCTTTGGATAGTGAGCCCTGGTGCATCACCTACAGATGTGGGAGCAACCTAACAATTTGTTTTCACAGAGAAGCATCCAAAGAACGAGATAAGAAACGGGAAAAGGAGGAAAAGAAGAGATTAGAGCTGGAGAGAAAGGAACAGAAAGAGAAAGAAAAGAAAGAACAAGAACTAAAGAAGAAATTTAAAGTAAGAGCTTGCTTGTCGATGGGTAAAAGAGTAACATCTTTTTGTAACTCAGATGAGGAGCACTGTTTCTGAAAACTTACATAGTTGGACAATTATTTATTATTTTTGAAACAGCACATATCTTCATAACAGTACTTTTTGCCTAACACACCCTTTATCCCTGCACTAAAAAAGGAAATGCAATAAAATCCAAATAAAGCATAATTTGGGGGTTAAAAGTAGTGGATATCCAGGACATTTTATATTGATTAAATGAATGAATACTCCATTACTCAAACTCAACTTGGCTCTCCAATTTACTGCATTAGCTGTTAGGTTTCAGTCCTTGAAGCCAGTGCACAGTGTGAAAGATTTCACAGAAAAATAGAATTTTAAGCAGAAGCAAAGTTTTATTTGCTTTCCAGAGGGGGAAAGGGGCTGATACGTAGAGGAATGAGGTCAGGGCTGGGGTTTATAAGATTTGAGATGTAGGAGGAATGTACTGCTGTTTGTGTTTTTTTTTTTGGTTCAACTGACTGTTCCAGAAAGCGACTAGGAAGACCAGTTTTTCAGTGTTTTGCCAAGGTGGTCGTTTGTTAGCCTGTACCATCTTTTCTATGACCTCATGAGGTCAAATATGTTGTCAACAGGATGCACGTGGGGTTCCACTTGAGTTCAGAAAAAGTTTCTATAAAACAGTAAAATAGCCTTCCTGCCTGACGAGATGGAGTCCTTTACAATATGGAATAGGTTAGGCTAATTTGAGTTGAGGGACTACATTAGCTATTAGCCTACTTATGCCAACCATGGGTTTAGGACCACACACGTTGATGTTCTGGTGGCATGGAATGCAGTGATGCAAGGGGCACAGGTGTCTTCTGGACAGACCTGTCTCAGAGTAGCATTTCTTTGAGTTACTCCAGTTGTTGGTGTCTGGACCTGACCTACATTCTTGCTTTTATTTTCAGCGTGTATACATGCTGACTTGTGATACCTGCTGCTTTTCATCCCTCTTTGTCAACCTCAATTTCTGAACTCAGTCTTCTCTGATTTCTGTAATTGTGTGACTTCTATTACTAACACCACTAAATGCTACATTCACAAGCTATGCTTTCTTGGCCATACCATCTTTGCTGACGTAACCATGTGGTATGGATCTGGCATCTGAAATATAATTAGGTTGACTATTTGAATTACAAAACTATTCTTTAAAAAGAATTCAAATAACGTTTCCTTTACATTTTTACTCTTCTAGAGAATTTAATATATCATTTGAATTATAAAAGAGTTGTGTATGTATAACTTCCCAATATAGTCATTAAAACAAAAGTTCAATAGGTCTTGCAGGGAAAACATCCATTGTGGAGCCAGTTACACAGATGTGAATTGAAATTCCAGCTGCACATGAGTCATGTGATCTTGGGCTTATTACTGAAGTTCTCTGATACTCAGATTCATATTCTTTTAGGAGAATAAATAGCACCATTTCAGAAGATTTGTTACAATATTAAGTAAAATATAACACAAGCACTATATCAATTTTAGGTTTTCATTAAATTTTATTTATATATAAATAAAATTATGATTATGATATGAACATTAAAACATTTTACTCACACAGAATATATGGCTACCAATATTTATATTTTAAGAAAAAAATTAATTTCTTAAATGAAAATCTATATCATATACTTCATGAGAGATTGTTCATAGCTTTCAAAGAACTGTGAAAGGTTGTTCTTAGTTTCTTTTGGAGCAATAGATTTTACATTATTTAACTCATTCATTCAAATATTTTTAGTAAGAAAAAAAGAGTTAGAAGTCATATCACTAGATCTGAACTCACCAAAGTAGAGCTTTGCAAGCTATATTTCTTCTACAAGATTTTAATTAACATTGGGTTTTTAAAATGTGAGAATTGAGTCCCAACAATATCATGACGTACATAATTTAACTTAAACTTTATGAAAATCCCTTAGTGGTACATAACTAATATGTTTTATAATTCATAGCATCATAAATGCAATAAAATAAGGTATGGCTTCTTTTAAAATCACAATGCATATTTGCATATCAAAAGATCCAAGAAATTCTGTTGAAGACACCAATTTGGGATTAGGAAATTAGGATTTTAGGATTCAGTTCTAAACTAGGATTATTCCTCCTGCTGTAAAGAAACCACCGCACTATTCAAAATATTAATTATGAAAAGCTCACATAGTATTTGCTGTTTTTTAAAGCTATTTCTAAAATATCATCTTTTTAGGACATGTCATATCTACTCCAAGTTTATAGACAAACAGGTTCCACAAAGTTTTAAAAAAGAAAGAAGCTTCATTTCTCACAAGTATACCCTACTGTCACTACCACCTACCTTTCTCTTTCTTGTTTTGGGCCTGCAGAGAACATCAGAATAACTACGCAAGTTGCTCTTTGTGCACGTGAGACTCTGGGTTCAATCAATCGAAAGAAAGAAAGGAAGGAAGGAAAGAGAAGGGAAGATGGAGAGAGAAAGAAAGAAAGGGGGGGAGAAAGAAAGGAGAGAGAAAAAAGAGGAGAGAGGGAGAGTGAAGAGAGAGAGAGAGGAGCAGAGAGGGAAAGAGGAGTGGAGGTAGGGAAGGAGGAAGGAGAGAGGAGGAAGGAACTCAAAGGAGAAAAACCTCCATCTACCAAACAAACCACCAATGTATCCCATCAAAACACATAGCAGTCGTCATGGATGGTTGTACACATGCAATATCAGTTATTAGGGGCTGCCTTTGCAGGTCTGGGGCAGTGTTCTTATGGTCAACAGATCCCTACCTCTCTCTCCTGGACCACAAGCACCTGACTTTTGCTGGTCTTGCTTGGCATCAGTGATTTTCCCCCAACCCTCTCTATGAGAGCACTCACCAAGAATGACATACCCTCAACTTCTAGTTGAGTGCTATAAACATCGGATACAGGCGGGCTAGCAAGTTATGGACTTATTATCATTCAAAATTGCATTCCTTAAAGGTTTTCTAGGAAACCTGTTAATTTTTGTTTCTCATTGCAGCTAACAGGCCCCATTCAAGTCATCCATCAAGCAAGAGCTTGCTGTGATGTCAAAGGTGGAAAGAATGAACTGAGCTTCAAGCAAGGAGAGGAAATTGAAATAATCCGTATCACAGATAACCCTGAAGGAAAATGGTTAGGCAGAACAGCAAGAGGGTCCTGTGAGTGCACATTTCCTCATGACCTCAAAGGATTTCTTTTGCATTCAATAGTACACATTCACTTTCTTCCAGAAGTGTAAGCATTGAGTTAGGAGTATGTTCCTGGATGGACAGAGTTAGGAAAAATTTTAAATGACAAGTATAGCTCCCTCTTCACTTCGTCTGTGTTCTTTTAGTGAGAAACAATGTAAAGTTCTACACTATTCTAGAGAGGATCAAAGATTCTTCATTTGGGCTGGCAGAGTGGCTCAAGTGGCAGAGTGCCTGCCTAGCAAGCATAAGGCCCTGAGTTCAAACCCCAGTACCACCAAAAAAAGATTCTTCTTTTTGTGTTAAAAGGGGAAAATGTTTCATATGACTCACTTTGGAATCATTAGAATAGACTGTAGACTTGACTAATGTACAACAGGATAAGTGTTGCCCAAAGAACAGTAAAATGTGTCCAAATAGGCAGTCAAAGCAGTCTGTAAATCAGAATTGCAAACAAATAAGAGGAAATCTTTCTTAAATTTCCAGGGGCTTGGGCATGCTAGGCAAACACTCTACCAATGAGCCCTATCTCCTGCCTTAAAGGGAAGTTTTAGAAAGCAAATATGCAATTGATATTTTGTTCACAACTTTAAAATATTTAAGTTACAGCTGCCTGAACCTAAGTCTTTCCCTTTCTGGTAGATGGTTACATTAAAACAACTGCAGTAGAGATTGACTATGATTCCTTGAAACGGAAAAAGAATTCTTTTGGTGCTCTTCCAACAAGACCTATTGAAGATGACCAAGAAGTATACGATGATGTGGCAGAGCAGGATGCTACTAACAGGTATGTGACAGACATGCATACTGCAAGACAGATCAGACTATCTCCTTGACAGATATTATGTTTTAAGATCATGTAGACCAGGCACAGTGGCTCACACCTATAATCCCAGCTACTCAGGAGACAGAAATGAGGAGGACTGAAGTTGAAGGTCAGCCAGAACAAAGTTAGTGAGACCCTATCTCAGTCGATAAGTTCCTGTCTGTGATACTACCTATGCAAGAGGCCATGGATATAGGGTTGCAATCCCAAATTGGCCCCAGACAAAAAACACAAGATTCCTCAATATCCCATGAACCCTGGGTATCAACTAAGGGTCCAGTTTTCTGTTGTTGTCAGGGTGACTTTTCCTCCACAAGAATAGTAGTATATCCTTTCTGGAGGAGGAAACAGATTGACAGTCTTCTCCCACATACTTCTGTATTAGCCAGCTTCACATTATTACACCCAAATACTTGAAGCATTTAATGTATAGAAAGAAAAAAGGTTGTTTCACTCATGGTTTCACCATTGCTATAAGCCTCTGGTGAAGTTGCCAGATTACAATGGCAGGGAGTACAGTGTGTCAGAGAAAACTGTTCACACAAACCAGAGAACTGAAAGTGGAAGAGCAAAAGTCCCACAATTCCTTGAATGACCTAAGACCTCCTGCAGGCTCCACCTCTCAGAAAGCTACAGTTGCTCCCAGTACCACCACAGGACCACATCTTCAACACACAGACCTCTGGGGGTATTATCCAAATTCAAACCATAACAAATTCTTCTTTCCTTCTTTCCTTTCTGAGTCTTCAGCTTCCTTTCTCTCCACATCCTTTCCCTGCTGTCTCTTTGACCTAGTTCAGATCTCTCTTTGCTCTTTCTTCTCCTCGTTTCCATTCCTTTTCTTTCTTCTGTCCTCCAATGCCTCTCTCTCTTGTGAATGACATAATCCTCTCAAGGTGAAGGAAAAGGAAGAAAAAAATCTTTCAGTCTAGTAAAGAATCCTCATTTTTCTGTGCCCATTTTATGAAATTGGGAAACCACCATTGTAATTTCAAAAAATAGAATCTTTGCTAGATCCTTTCCTGGATAAAAACATGCCTTCATTCTTTACAACTCTAACTGCAAAGAAAAAATTTTTAAAATTATCAACCATTTACAAATGTAAGTCCACAAAGTTAGTAATGTACTTATATTTTAAAGTACATTATGCTTCTTATAAAGCATATGAAGACTTAAATTTCCCTATTTTGGTGATACTGGGAGCCTTTGCTTGCTAGGCAAGAGCTCTACCAGTTGAGCCACTCCACCAGTCCTAAATTTTCTTCTTTGATCTTTCCTCATGTCATCAGTTAAGCCTATTACGTTGCTTCTTGGCAATTTTTTTTGTGAAATTTTAATTCATTTTCTTACTTTTTTTTTTTTTTGAGGTACTGGGGCTTGAACTCAGGACATTCCCCTTGAGCCACTTCACCAGCCCTATCTTTGTGAAGGTTTTTGTTGTTTTGTTTTGTTTTGAGATAGGGTCTCGTGGAGCTATTTGCCTAGGCTGGCTTTGAATCACCATCCTCATGATCTATGCCTCCTGAGTAGCTAGGATTACAGGCATGAGCCACTGGTTCCCGGCCTTAATTCACTTTCTAAAGTGAATCAAAGCCTGCTATACCTTCTTACCATGTTATGAATGTAAATTATGCAGCATATATCAAAATATGCAATGCTGCACTGAAGTTTGTGGATTATAAGTTGGCTTTAGTAATAAGAATCATATTGACTTTGTTTGAGAGTCAGTAAATGTGAGTTCCAGGTTCAGATGAAACCCCAATGGTCACATTCTACAATTTACCGAATTTTCTGGACATGAGTATGTCCACTGTATTACCATGTACAAGCTGTATTTTTATATTTCATTTTAATGCATTTCTTTTAGGAGTCTTAAAGAACCCCATTTGCATTGATAAATACTTTTACTGGTATGTATGCTCAAGAAAGTAATTTTGTGAAAAAAAAAAAAGGAAAGAAGTTCTTAAAAGCATTATTTCACCATAATAGGTTGACCTGTCCCAAAACTATTACTATTCATTGTTTTCATTTTATGAAGTCCATACATACCACAAAAGATATGCTCTAGTTAGTAAGTATGGAGCAGACAAGGATTGTTCTGCTTAATAAAAGGGTGAGGTTACAGGAGGTGTAGGGTTTTAGTGCTCAATATATGAAGTATAGTGCCCCAATGTTTACTAACATCTGCCCCTCTCATATGCATATTTCATAGGCAAATTTAAGAAAGAAACTGTTTTATACATGTTTTATTTCTAAAACTACAGCTGCTGCTAGCAGAGCTCTCATAACAGAACAGGCTTTGTCATTAGTAGAAAAAAGAAAGATGCTGAGTGTAGCTGGCAGCTTGCCCTGAAAGGAATAAGAAGAAAAGCACAATCCCCTCCTCCAACCTCCTCCATGCCTCCAGCATCCCCACACCCTCCACCTGCTCTTTCCTGGTCCCCTCGGATGAGGGAGTTGCCTGCGTACTTCAAACTCTGGGAGCAGACATGAGGCTTAAAAGCACGGACCCTGACAGCTGCCCTTCACTCTTTCTTCTCAACTAAAGTGGTTTCTGTAATGACTATGAAACGCTGAGGCAAAGGAAATTGCACACACAGGGGCCATTCTTCCATCACATAGCAAACCTTCTTCCTTCCATGTGTCTCTGCCCCACAGCCACCCACCCCCTCTTCTTCACTCACCACCTTACTTTCACTTGTGAAATATTTTACATTCAAACAAGAGAAATGAGTGGCAGTTTTACACCTGTGATTTAGGAAGTGGGTATGAGAACCTTCAAGAGGAAATATCCTTGCAGGAGCCATGGCCCATCAGAATGCACCTAATCCTTAGTGAGTGCTGGTTTCATGCTCAGAGAGAAGTGTCAGAGAAAATAGACGTGAAAATGGTGCATAAGCAAGAAGAGAGTGTACTTCAGCTTCTTCATATTTGTATAATAAAATGCAATTTTATTATGTAAATATTCTCATGTACATAATAAAACCAATTCTTACTTATATAGTAAAATGTTTATAGCATGTTTTTCTACAAAATTCCATTGCAATAGCATTTTTTACCTCTAAATGAACTGAAGATCTACATCAGGAGTCAGGTATAAGTGTATAGTTGTCCTGTATATTGTAGCATCAAACTGATAATTTGTTATTTATAGATTATCCAAAAGCCAAAAGTGAGGGAAGAAGGAGTGTAGCTAGGTATGGAAGTGACTTTGGTCAAGTCACTTAAATTCTTAGAGCCTCGGTTTCTCTCCCACAAAATGAGAGGATTGAATAGATGACTTCTGAGTTTTTCTAGACCTATAGTCTAGAACTTCTCTCTCAGAACTTTTCTCTCACAGAACTTCAACTGTGGTGAGAGATACTTGAAAGAACAGATCACCCTAAAAGCTAAAATAATGAAAGCACAGAATATTATGGAAGAAATAAGAAACAAAGGAAAACTGGACTTAGAGGCCATATGGTATAAAAGTCCCATGAAGATTTCAATTTTTAAAATGATTTTCCTTAACAAAGAAAAGTTAATGCTATTAGTTGTTATAGTTCTAAGATATTGAAAGATAACTGAAGTTAATGCAATGATAATTGCTCTATATGATTCTTGAGGTATTTTTAGTGGCCCATTTATGGAATAATGTAACAATGTACAATCCGAAAACTTCCCCATGGGAAAATGTTAAAACAAACAGTATCACTGTTTTGAGTATCCTAAGTAGTGCTATAACTCATTTGATTCATTTTGTTTTTTGTTTTATTATGTTGCCTTGTTATTATGCATCTATTGTGGTAAAGAACATTTTTCTTTCTCTTCACATTTGATATACTGAGCTTTTAACTTGAGTGTTATTTATCTTTTGTATACTTCTCAATATATGTACTTCTCTTTTTGAGAGGTAAATAATTCATATATTAATTTAATATTTCTGATTTTTTTTCCTAGCCACAGTCAGAGCGGAAGTGGAGGTAAGCCACACATGTATTAGTGCTTACAAGTTTTTTACAAGTCTGCAACGTTTTTGAATATGTTAATGACAAAACACTTTACTTTGTCAATAATGAGGGGATCTCAATGAGGAGAAAGAACACTGGCCTGGGAGTCAATGACCTGTACTGTAGTCCTGGTCACCAAGTGACTCTGAACAAGTCACTTCTTTCTTCTAAGCTCGTTATGGATCCTAGGGTGATCCCACATACACACTCCCTGTGTGCACTGGGCAGTCTTGGTTTACATCAACTGTCTGAACATTCCCCTTCACGTTTAGAAACCCTTGTTTGAACGACAACTTATAAGGTTTCCTTGACTGTGGTTCCTAAAGTCCCCTGAATTTTCCAACAAAAGCACATGGAATTTGAACTAGTATCTTGCAGGGCTCAAATTCTCATAGTAAAAATTAAATTTGGAGGTCATTGTGCAGTTCCTGCGAATAAAAGGTACTTGGTAAACACTGGTTAAATAAATACTTGTCAAACAGCAGGATTCCTGAAGAGTACACAATAAGTAAAACAAGAAAGAGTTTAAGTTTAAAACACATGTACTAAAATGTCACCTTTCATTTCTTTCTTTATTTCAACACCCATCAATGTTTACAGATGCAACTTTCCTTTCATTTGATTTTCTTCACTTCTATCTTGATTAGTATCTTTTCCTAAACATTGGCTCACTGTTAATTTTTCTTTTTTTATTAAAGTTTTTTCAGTATCTCCTCACTTATCTTTTTTTTAGATGAATATCTAACTCTACCTCTTATTCAATATTCTTTTGCTCACATTTATTCTCCCTCGTTCCTTTCATCTAAAGCCCAGAGTGCCTATCTGCTATGCCTCTTTTATTTGTTACAATTTCAGCCCTAAAAATTCTTATAAAATGGTCAACAAAGCAATTAATTTACCTACTACCTATGTGAGTGTGGGAAATTAGAGTTTTTTATTTAGAAGGTTCATATGAAAGGGAGATGCCGTCTGCAGTCAAATAGGGAATATTTATCAAATATTGTCAAATTGTCAAAATCTGAGTGAGCTCCATGACTGAACTATAAAATTAACAGTTTCTTCCCTCATCATAATTAAGGGATGTTCCCCCCACCACCGGATGATGATGTTTATGATGGGATAGAAGAGCAAGATGACGATGGGTGAGAATAACCAGTGAATTGCCTTTTGTTGCAAAATGTTCACATATGGAATTTTAGTTTTGACTTCCAGTTAGAATAAAAATAGAAGATGTTAGATTTTTCTATTACATTCCTAAAGTGATTTAAATGTTTAATTACTATCAAGAGTAAATCAAGTGTAAAATTGCACCATACTTTAAATGACATGGCAGGTTGTTTAGAAGAATCTCAATTGTGGCAAAAGAAGTGAAATGTAGAAGGAATAAATTACAGGTGTGTAAATGTTTCTCCAAACATTTTTCCAATCATTTATTTATTAATCAATAATTTACTTTTACAATAATCTCTAGAGAGTTTATCAGTTACATGATTATCTGTTATATAATAACTCAGTTTAAGCAACCCAATAACGAGATCATTTGCTGTCTGTGGCAAAACTTGTATTGAATATTTAATCTTCTAGCTTAATAATAAATATCTTTGTATTTGTAATAATATTTTGTAAACTAGTAATCTTTTAGACTAATAATAAATTTTCTCCTTCCATTTTTAAATGGTACATTTAAAATTTATGCTGTATTGATTACTTGATTTTTCATCATAAATAACACTGAATTTAGATTTTATACTTAATCCTAACTGACTTACCTTCATATTTTAAGAACCAAGAAAAATCTCACTAAGTACTAAGAGCAATATTCAAACACTGTGATGTGTAAGCTTAATAGCACCATTTTGTTGAATGCAATGAGTTATTTGCTGCCTGAATGATCTATGCAGTATTAATTATTAGAAATCTGAATGTCCACACAATGTCTTCATGTTCTGCTGATTATTACATTCTTATCAATGCCTGCATGCTCCAAAGCTCCACACTACAGGTTGAAGAGAAGAATAACACGTGGTCCTGGGGGATTTTGAAGATGTTAAAGGGAAAAGATGAGAAAAAGAAAAGTATACGAGAGAAACCTAAAGTCTCTGAGTCAGACAGTAATGAAGGTTCATTGTAAGAGTCAACCAACCAAATTCAGTGCACCATAACTACACTAATGTTAATTTAATTGAATGCTACTAATGTTCTATAACCAATAATCAAGTCCTGATAGACTCAAGCCATCTTAATATTATTTTCCATTAATCATCCTAAACTCATTTTAGATTGATTTTAAACTCATGCATTAACTGCATAAGACCCCAATTATTCAAAACTCATATAATGTTTAAAGTTGTATTTTACTTTCCCCATAAATTTGCATAATTTGTAGGTTTATATGAACACATATGCACACACAGTCATACACACATAAACACACCCTCCATTTAGTAGAACTAACTGCAGCTTCATATCTAGAAGCTTATGATTACAATTCCAATGCTACATTTTAATTTACAGTATATTATTGTGACTACTACTTAAACTATACGTTCTTTGTGCAAAATTCATTTGCTAGAATTGAAATTTATTTTCTCTAAATATATACTTAAAGTCTTTGTAACTTTGTTCCACAATAGTGATACATTAATTCTATTTGAATTATACTTCACCTACACTTAAATAATTCTCAATATCTTATTTGTATAAATAAAAATTAAGACATAAGCCTTCTCTTTCCATTCCAAAATATGTCCTTTAGCATAAATTCCATACATAAGAATTTGAAGGATCGTAGTCATGTTTCTTAGCACAGGAAAGTCTTTCTGTTTTGTATGTAACTACTGTTGTCACCACGTTTCACAGAAGTATTTATAAACTGTTCATTCCAAATATCATTCCTAATTTTAAAACTTCTTTAAAATACCAAAGTAGTAGTGAATAAACAGTACACATAAAATTTAAGAAAACATAACAAGAAATCTTCTCTTGAACATCACTCAAATATCATCCTTACTTAGAAGTAAGTGTCTTTTTGTGCTTCAATTACATACCATGCAATTCTGATTTGGACTCAGTTGAATGAATGGTCCCTCACATTCTCCTTTAACCAGTCCTTCCTGTCAGAGGTGTGTCTGTGTTTGTGTCTGTATATATATATTTACAAGCAACAACTCAGAAAGTAATAAAACAAAAGTCTTTTTGTAGCTAAATGTTGTGACTAAATGCCACCTAATCCTGGTTTCACATCACTTGTATTAACAAGCTCTCACGCTAGTGTAAGTGAATGTTCCTCTCTTATTCTCCTGTTTGGGGTATATAGATGCACACATTAGTGAAACGTGGGCATACTCCTATGACCTCTGCTTATTTTTACTCTGCATTTTTATTCTTCAATTCAGATCAACAGTTTTGAGCTAGAGCTATGTCTAGCACAAGGACTCCAAAATATCGAGTCCATTCAATTCACTCTGGTGTGATGATATGCCCAAACTTCAGAACAAATCTGAAAACGTTGGTCCAGTAGCCATGGACAAAATTAAACAACTAAGTATCTTGACTCTGGACTTTTTTGACCTACATTAGGGTTCAGGAAATAGTTTTACTGAATTTCAGATTGATGGATGGAAACTAGGACTTAGTGGAAAATGGAGGAGGATAAGAAAGGAATAATGATCAACAGATTAACCATTGTATGACACTGGGCTGTTGTCTGTTCATACCTCCCCTATGTAAAGGAATTTAATTTTCAGGTTCATATTATTCTGATTATAACTTTGTTGTCATTTCTTTTTCAGTTTCCCACCTCCTCCTAAACATTTGGGTAAGTAATAAAAAACTAATTGTATACTTGTATCTTTATTTCTTGTGGATGGGGTAGTGGAAAGCACTGGATGTAGCACAGTGTCTGCATTAAGTCCTGACTTTAAAAATAATGAGCTGTGTCACATTGGGAAAATAACATCACCTTGGGTGGCCACAAGTGTTCAACAATAAAGAAGAATGGAAAAAAGATTGATATCTTTAAAGCTATTCTTCCAGGAGCCACTGTGGAGTTAGGTGGAAGTGGGAAATGCTGGACACAAACATTTCCCATGTCCTCTGCCCCATCTCAGTCCTCTTTTACTAATAGGACACTTGCATAAAGATGTCTAAAAACACACCAGATTATATGCCATTGTTGTCCTTCAATATCTAATTCCTTTGACTTTTAAAATACATAATTTATATTACATTTAGAAATTTTTTAATATATCACTTGCTTCTTTTCACAATTTCAGTCAATTTCTTTTTTTATCCCTACTGAGACAGATCTTTCAAAGACTGTTTTTAAATTTCCTCTGAACAAAATAAAGTATTGTCTCCCAAGAATATTGAGGGTTTTTTAAAAGTTTATTTATGTTATTTTATAAGTATATTAAAAGAGCAAGTCAACATAGACATAACATATTTTTCCAGACTCTTTTACCTGACATTAGAACTTTCTTTGCAGTTATCAGTTTGAAAATGTGTTAGGGACTAACTTAAATTGATCAATACTTAATGGTGCATTTGTATCCTAATCTGTCATATTCAAACCTATTTAAAACTTAGCCCTGCAAAGAGTAGGCATGAAATGGAACAAATGTGGTCAATTCAGTAGTAAAAATTATGTAGGGTTTTTTTTGATCCATTCTTCTGTTGTTATTCTCAAGTGGGTTTTTAATGTATGTGCATGGAACGGCAATTTTTATCCTTTTGGAAACCAATGATTTATCATATTTAAAGTATTTATTATGGATTTTTATATAGCTAAGAAAGTTTAAACCCATGAAATTAATAAACCTATACACAGAGAGAGAGATATAAATATAGGAATTTTTAAAGGAAATCAATTCCTTGCCACACTTTAGAGCATTTAAACATTCTAGGATAATCATCCCTTAAAATGTTTGCAATGTCTCCAACTCATCTCTTGAGCTCAGTTTGCTGTGAAGCAGTTTGGAGGTAGAGAAAAAGCATTCCCCCTGACTTTTCAAGAAGTCTAGATGGAAGAAATAGATCTACAAACTGGAAAGGCCATTGAACAAGTTAAGGTCATGGAACTTTTTCTAATAATACAGCTTCTCATCACCTATTGGTATCAGAAGTATCTTATCCTCAGAACCTACCTTTTCATTTAAAGGTGGAAAACTCCTGATATCACTGTATGGCAAAAGTTAGTGAGGAACAGATTGGTACATAAGAGAGGAAGGGAGGAAGGAAGGAAGGAAGAAGGAAGGAAGGAAGGAAGGAAGGAAAGGAAGAAGGAAAGAAGGAAGGAAGGAAGGAAGGAAGGAAGGAGGAAGGAAGGAAGGAAGGAAGGAAGGAGGAAGGAAGGAAGGAAGGAAGGAGGAAGGAAGGAAGGAAGGAAGGAGGAAGGAAGGAAGGAAGGAAGGAGGAAGAAGGAAGGAAGGAAGGAAGGAAGGAAGGAGAAGGAAGGAAGGAAGGAAGGAAGGAGGAAGGAAGGAAGGAAGGAAGGAAGGAAGGAAGGAAGGAAGGAAGGAAGGAAGAAGGAAGAAGGGAAGGAAGGAAGGAAGGAAGGAAGAAGGAAGGAAGGAAGGAAGAAGGAAGGAAGGAAGGAAGGAAGGAGGGAGGGAGGGAGGGAGGAAGGAAGGAAGGAAGGAAGGAAGGAAGAAGGAAGGAAGGAAGGAAGGAAGGAAGGAAGAAGGAAGGAAGAAAGAAGTAAGGAAAGAAGGAAGGAAGAAGGAAGGAAGGAAAGAAGGAAGGAAGAAGGAAGGAAGAAAGAAGTAAGGAAAAAAGGAAGGAAGAAGGAAGGAAGGAAAGAAGGAAGGAAGAAGGAAGGAAGGAAAGAAAAAGATATGTAAATAGGATGATATGTATTGCCACAGCACTCCAACACCAAAGAACCTTGATTTCAATCTCCACTTCCTACTGCCAGTGTCCAGTAATGTTTGTTTGTCCTCATTTTGCTAGTGCTGCCATTCATCCACTTGTCACAGTTGTGGGTATTGAGATAATCATATCCCTATTCCATGGTTTTGTTTTGTTTTGTTGTTCCAGATAATGATAGTTATAATCATGGTCACTGGTTTTGTTTGGTTGGTTGGTTTTAGGGGTTTTTTTGTTTGGTTTTGGAGGGAAATTTAACTCATGTATTTAGGAGATAAGAGAAGCAGAAAAAGTGCTTCTTGGAGAAAAGTACCCAGACTTCAGGAAATCTTCTCTTATTGTCTATAAAGCAACCTTTATATTAAAAATATCAATGAGTGTATATATCAAAATTTAATCTGGGCATGGTGGTACATAATTCCAGCACTCAGAAGGTAGAGGCAGGAGGACTGAGGGTTTAAGGCCAGCCTGTGCTACATAGTGAGATCCTGTCTCAAAAAAACCCTTAATGGTGTTTCAAGTTTTGATATTTTGTCTCTTGTTAGACATTGGAGAAGAAGTTTATGATGATGTGGATGCCTCTGATTTCCCTTCTCCATCAGGAGAAACAAGGTAATAAAAATGCTTTCATTACAATGAAGTATCAAAAATGAGATTGCTCAAAAAAATTCAACTGGAATAAAAACCTGAAGGGGTGAGTGTCGAGAATGTGCAATCGTGTTGTCTCTGTCCTCCTTGCTAAAGCTGTGTTGATTTCAGATCCCAGCTCTAATCTTCCTGCTATGTTTGTGCACAAATTTCCCCCTTTCCTCTTCCCATTACCCACTCTCCCCAGTCCTCTCCTCTTCCACCTGGACTCCTGGCTTTGCTCCTTTGTCTTCTGATGAATCTCCTTTGGATGACTCCCTGATGTCTGCATTCATTTATTCTCTCATTCACTAGGAAAATATATTTGAGATTCTGGCCACAAAAGATATCAATGACTCATTTCCTCACTTTATTTTTACTCTTTTCTCCAAACCTTTTTTGTCTTGAATATACTTCTTTTACATCTCAGCCTTCATCCTTCTTGTTCAAGTCACTCCTATTCTTAATGAAATTGTTTCCCTTATGATAGAAGAAAAGAATTTGTTATCTGAAAGGACTTTAAGGTATGTGTTTTCTCACAAAAGCATCAGATTCTCAAAAGTTCTATTCAAAATTTTTTAAGTCAACAGTAAGTAATGACCTTTTCTAGTTTATCTGAAGTTTTAGTTTAACTTTAGGTTAAAAATTTATGAAAATTTGTTAAGATTGGTTAATACAAAAGGAGAATCATTTGAAAATTCTTTTGCAATAGAACTTAGCATGATAGGATGGTTTCTCATTTTCCAATAAATATGTTAGATGACCTTATATGTATTGTATATAAAAACAAGAACTCCTCTGTAATGCTTTTGAGAAAAAAGACAGATGAATAAAAAAATGGCATGTTTGATTATTCAAAGGACAAAAGAAACATAAATGGATACAAGAATCAGTGCCTTCTGAGCTGTACTTAAAAATGCATGCTAGCACTCAAAGTATTTATTTTTTACCATCATTGTTAAGCCAATTTTACTGCACTAGAGATAGCATCGAGATCAAAGAAACTGAAGGCAAAATATGCTGTCATCAGTATATGAAGATCAAGTTCTACAGGGAAAACAGACAAGAAAGATGAAAGGAGAATCATTCTTTTTCAGTTTTTCAAGAAAGGAAAATCTAAACTTCAGTAACATTTTCAAGGTTTAATATCCCTCACCATCGGGAAGTCATTCCTAGCTCAGATAGTTTTCAATGCATTTTTCTATTTTATATTACTGTAGAAATGCTACCACATACTATAAGCTAGCTCTACAGGAACCCAGTCACCACTGGTCCTTTTCTTCTAGCAAAACAAACTTCAGCTGATTAAACTTGACCTGGCAAGGACTGCTTTCTTACCCATTGCTTACTTTCAGAATTTAAAACAATTTTGTTTTTTCACCACAGTATTCTATTTTGAAATAAGTTATTTTCAAAGATAGCTTTGTGGGACATTTTTAACATTCCTGTATCTTCTGATAGACCCAGTGAGCTAGTCTATGCCAGCAATTCCACCAAAGCCAGGAGGTCCTGAGGGCAGGTGCAGGACCAAGGGAATATATTGTACTAATTCTTTTCACAATGCATGTACTAAATGCTAAGAATCAAAATTTTAGGATCAAACATTTTAAATAAGTCACTTACAAACATATCTTTATCACAGATAATCTCAATAAATAAAAACTTTCACTATTCACAAATACTCCTATTTTTTTTTTAATTCCCTTCTGCAGGGATTCACAGCCCTTTTCTAAGATCCATACTTAACTCTAGGGTATGCCTCTCAACCCTGGTTACAAATCCATGTTATCTAGGGAGCTTTTCTTTGTTTGGGTGGTACTGGGTTGAACTCCAGAGCCTTGTGCTTGCTAGACACGCACTCTACCCCGAGCCCAACTGGAGAACTTTTTAAATACATATGAATGTATCTAGATCTCACTCAGACTAACTGAATTAGAATTTAAAATAATCAAAGTTAAATTGGCGTGTCTAGGAACTGGGTAAATGCATTGCTATGTTTCAAAGTGTTTTCCAAGGTAACCCTGTGTAAGGCAGGCTGAAGAATCATTATTTTAGTCATGTTGAATTATTATGATTATTGGCTTTATAGTTCATTTGGTGTGGTTTTTTAAATATTAAATCCATTGATTAATAAAAAACATTTTTTACCTATGTTTTTCAACCAACATTTCTTGTCTCCCACTCTGGCTCTGTTTACTTAATTTAATTAATTAATTAATTAATTTTTGTGCTAAGGATTCATGCAAGCACTCCACCATTAATCTATATTCCCTGGCCTTCTGACTCAATTTTTAAGTAGATATGAATATATTAGCATACAAATAAGCTTTGTAAACCATAAAATCAGATTTTTAAAAATAATATTTTAAGCCCAAATCACTTAATTATTTAGAAGGGTTCTAATAGGTAGGGGGTTCAACAGTTTGAATATATAGGGAGCTCAAGGGTTTGACTATATAGGGAGTTCAGGCATAGGTTGAATCACATGTACCCATGTTTTAACTATCACCCAGTGATTTTGTGTGGTTTACTATAACAGGAGATATCTCATTTTCATTATAGATCCTAATCTGTATTCTCTTAAACAATCCTTTCCATATATGAAATGTCATCATTTATTAAAATGAACAGCACTGAGTTTCTAAGAAAAAACTTAATTAAAAGCAGCATTGAGCAAGAATTTAATGTTACAAATTAAATCTCTACTATAGTCTATTATTTTTATATTTTTTAAGCAAGCTGTTGTTTTTATGTGTGTTCAGCCTCCCAGGTCAAGGAATCAATATTGGAAAGGCCAAGACTGAAGAAAAAGATCCTAAGAAGCTAAAAAAGCAGGAAAAAGAAGAAAAAGAGCTCAGGAAAAAGTTTAAAGTATGTCATATTTAATAGCATGCAGAGTTCAAAGCATTAATGAAAAAACCCAATAATTTTTAAAGACCAAAATATACACTTTAAAAGTGTACTCATAAATACTACAGTCCTCCATCATAGCCCATTTAATTTCTACAAATTTATTTTAGATTTAAATTTATTCCTATCATGCATACTAAACTATCATGCATACTAAACTATCATGCATACTAAATATTCATACTGTGATAATCATCTAAATTTAGATATCCTTTAAACGTGGTTTAAAAGGTAATCTAAAAATATTTGTTATATGAAGTTGTTGAGATTATGATAGACTCCTCCCCCCCAAATTTTCTAATTTTATTTCATGTTCTTATATTATCTTTTGAAATCACTGAACTATTTATTTTGCAAAGACCTTCTTAATAAATTTGTCAAGTGAGTTACTATAATAATACAAATCAACCAATAATTTGAATGTATTTATTTTTCCAGTATGATGGTGAAATTAGAGTTCTATATTCAACCAAAGTTGCATCCTCCCTAACCTCTAAAAAGTGGGGAGCTAGAGATCTACAGCTCAAACCTGGTGAATGTCTTGAAGTTATACAAAACACAGATGATACAAAAGTTCTCTGCAGGAATGAAGAAGGAAAATGTAAGTCATTGCTTATGCTCTCCATGGTGCTCCAGAATTTAACAACCAAACAAGTTTTAGTGATTTCCCTGTTCTACTAACTTGTTTTGCCTTATATTTTGTGAGTTGTGGAAAATACTAAGAAACTAGAGGTTCTTCTGTGCTGAAGTCAATGAACTTTAATGTCTTTTTATTTACCACCTGCTAGTCATACACTGGGATATCAAAGGCAATGCTAAATTAGTGCCTCTCGGTATGTGGTTTTAGAAACCACCAGCATCAGAACACCCTACTCTGAGAGTTAAAATTGCAGTTGCTGTCTACCCTTGGCTTGTTGAATCATAAACTCTGGGAACCAGATGGAATCTCTCACTGTAACTTGTTCTCTAACTTGTTCATATACCCTGCATAAGAACTACTATGCTAACATAGTGAGTGGCTCTTGCTCTGGCCTGGTTTTAAGATTGTATAGCATGCATCACATCTAGAATTTAGTTTCTTTACCTCGCATATTCATTTGTTTTCATTTTCTCTTTGGAGGCACTTAGTGCAATATACCACTCCAAATAAGCACAAGACAGTCCCTGTCTGCTTTGACCTTATCAGCTACTAAAGCTGATAGATGCAAATATTTTTGTCAAATTTTAAAGGGAAGCTTATTTAAAATCCAGGGACATCCAGCAATACCACTCTTAGGGATATACCCAAAAGACTGTGACACAGGTTACTCCAGAGGCACCTGCACACCCATGTTTATTACAGCACTATTCACAATAGCCAAGTTATGGAAACAGCCAAGATGCCCCACCACCGACGAATGGATTAAGAAAATGTGGTATCTATACACAATGGAATTTTATGCAGCCATGAAGAAGAACGAAATGTTATCATCCGCTGGTAAATGGATGGAATTGGAGAACATCATTCTGAGGGAGGTTAGCCTGGCCCAAAAGACCAAAAATCGTATGTTCTCCTCATATGTGGACATTAGATCAAGGGCAAACACAACAATGGGATTGGACTTTGAGCACATGATAAAAGCGAGAGCACACAAGGGAGGGGTAAGGATAGGTAAGACACCTAAAAAATTAGCTAGCATTTGTTGCCCTTAATGCAGAGAAACTAAAGCAGATACCTTAAAAGCAACTGAGGCCAATAGGAAAAGGGGACCAGGAACTAGAGAAAAGGTTAGTTCAAGAAGAATTAACATAGAAGGTAACACACACGCACAGGAAATCAATGTGAGTCAATGCCCTGTATAGCTATCCTTATCTCAACCAGCAAAAACCCTTGTTCCTTCCTATTATTGCTTATACTCTCTCTACAACAAAATTAGAAATAAGGGCAAAATAGTTTCTGCTGGGCATTGAGGGGGTGGGGGAGGAGAGGGAGGGGGCGGAGTGGGTGGTAAAGGAGGGGGTGGGGGCAGAGGGGAGAAATGACCCAAGCCTTGTATGCACATATGAATAATAAAAGAAAAAAAAATCCAGGGACAAACATTTCAATATTATGTTGTCCTAAACTTGAAATTAGATAGCCAACATGACTTCCCACATCAGCTTAGTTAATCAGCATGGAAAATGTGGACTCTGCATTTAATTTCAATGGGAGGAAGGTGACTCAGGGATGATAACTGAAATGGAGTCTTAAGAATAAAACACAGTGACTCAAGGACGGGGAATAGAGCTAAAGTTACCATGAAGGAGGTGCGGTTTGGCTTTTCAAAGGAAAATATGGGATGTGGGTACAAAAGATAAAGGGCAGGAACAGTGTAATATTAAGATTTGAACCTCACTAAGGATAATGTGTAGACAGAGCCTCTGAGACCAAAAAGATAAAAAAAATTCAGACTAGCATTGTGGTAATCTTCCCTAAGAATAGCTTTAAATACAGAAAAACATGCATTAAAAAGTCCTCAAAAATACAAAGAAGTTCAGAAATGTTCTTAATATTTTAAAAGATAATTATTGCTACTAGGGAAATGATGACCAGGAGGATTGCAGTTTGAGGCCATCCCATGCAAAAAAAGTTAGCAAGACCCATTTGAATAAAACAAGCTGGGCATCATGGTGCATGCCTATTATCCAGCTACATGAGAGGCACAGGCAGGCATATCATGGTACAGGCCAGTTGTGGGCAAAAAAAGGGAAATCCTGTTTGAAAAATACCTAAAGTTTAAAAGGACTGAGGGTGTGGGTCAAGTGGAAGAGCACCTGCATAGCAAGTACAAGGCTCTGAACTCAAACTCTAATACTGCCAGGAAAAAAATACGACTATGATAGTAATATGATATGATGAATATCTCTTTACCTAGCAGTTTAAATAAGAAAGCTAATCAATATTCAGTAAGATTCATAACTGTGTTTAAAATGCAAATAAAAGAAACAGAAGTAGTCCGACGCAGTAGTACACCTATAATTCCAGCACTGAGGAGACTGAAACGGGAAGGTGGCAAATTTGAGCCCAGCCTGAGGGCATAGCAAGTTCCAGGTCAGCCTGCAAAACCCTGTAGAAAAGAAGGGAGGAAGTGAAGGGAGAAATTATACTACTATATTAAACATCAAGATGTTAACTTTCCTCTGCTTTCCAAATTGTCATGTATTCTTCACAACAGATTGTCCTAGTATTTGCCATGTGGATCCCTAGCCTCTGCACTACCTTTAGACACATAATGCCCTTGTTAAAAGAAAATCTTGCCATGGCATCCTAAAGTCCCCTGTCCTTAGCAACAAATCCCATCAAAACCAACCTTCCTCAAGCTTCAAAGTTCATATGAATCCATGGGGCTCTTGTTGAAAATGCAGATTCTAATACAGTAGATCTGAAGTGAATCTCACATTCTGCATTTTATCAAACTCCTAGATAATTGATTCTGCTGGCCCATAGGACATACTCTGAGTAACAAGGATGTAGATGACCTCATCAGCAGATGTGTGCGGATAGAGATGGGCAGGAATAGACATAGCATCAAAACAGGAATTCAGAGAAGAGACTCCTATCTTCCTAGGATGAAGTGGATCTTGGGAGTGAGGAAAAGCAGTAACAATTAAGGGATAATTGTTCAGTCTATTATTATTTCCTATTTGAAGGCCCATAGTTCTAAGTACTATAACAGATACTGGAGGACTCCTATGCTCTTAGAATTTGTCATCTTTAAGAAATGACAGTGGAAAGCTAGGGGAGGGTAAATTAGTGATAGAGCACTTGTCTAAAAATGACAATGGAAACATTTCATAAACTTCTGGTAGATTACAATCAAGGATTTCATGTCACTTTTATCTTTTTTCTCCTGGCACAGGATCAATGTACTTAATGGTTTCTTAGTTCACTAAAAATTGATTACTTAAATTTTTAGATGGTTTGGGGGTTATTTCAAACAAGATAGAAACCAGAGGAGTATATCAATAGTACTTACACATAATAATCCTTTTTATCAAAAAAGTTATAGCTTGGATAGTTGAGCCTTAATGCTCTGGACAATTCTGTCAGTATTGTTCCATCCCACAAATCAGGGTGTTTATACAATAGGTTGAAGCCTCTTCTGGGAAGATTGAGAGACATTTAGAATGCCGAGAAAGCTAACAGAAAGTTCTGGAAGCTAGAGAAAGCTGTCAATAAAAAAAAATCTCAAACACAAGTGCTGTCAACTGAAATTTGAACCAATAGATACTCTAGTGGTGAGGGTGACGGTAGGGTACTAGGAGTATTTTACATTGATTTTCAGATTGATTAGTTCATCAAGATTTAATTAGTGTATCTACTTCACTTCATTTTTTTGTTTTCTCATACTTCCTGCTTTTCTTAATTTTATAAACCTTTTTCCTTGTTCATTCCTTCCTTGAAATGGGTCATTGATCATTCTTTTCTTATTTTCTATTCCATTCGAGACACACTTCCATAGAACTTAGGATGCTTGTATGAATTTCTTTCTCCTATACCTAAGTGATTGAAGTAGCTTTTCAAATGGTGTCTAGCTTTACCTTTACTCTCAGCCAATCCACTCACCCCACTATTAACCAAATATTACTTTTAAAACCATAGAGTTCTTAGCATATAAAACTCTTTATGGTCTAGCTCACTCATAATGACTACTATTTCCTATCTATAACTTATACTATAAAAATACAAACTACATGCTTGTCATCCCCTGAATAAGTCCTGCTGGTTCATCCCACTATGCTGTTTCATTTGACTCGGAATGTCAGTAACTGTCTACTCCAAACAACTCCATTGTCATCTAAAATTAGATAACACCAATCACAATCAATCTCTCCCCAACTCCACCATGACTCTACTTTAGCAGCTGAACTGTTAGTATTGTTTCACCAGTCTATTACTCTTTTGAGACTCTGAGTTTAAGAGTAGTCAATAAAATGTTCTCAACATTGAATTGCCAACACCTTGCACAGTGCAATGCACCTCAACTAGAGCTTGCTAAATCAAATGTAACAGTTATTATTGAAAGACATGTAGCAATTCCTATCTTTTAGTTTTGTTTTTGTGATTTGCTTATCTACAGCAAACTTCCAAGTTTAGGGTTGTCCCTCAAATGCAATGGAGAGTGGGAAGAACAGACTGCTGAGTTCTGGACTGGAGGGGAAGAACTGAAGTAATCAGGCATTCACTCTACTTGCCAGTCTCAGAGCTTTCAGATCCTGCCCAGGCAGTTAACCACTTGTGTGAGGGAGGAAGATGAGAAATCATGTGATCCACTGAATTTGGGATTAAAGCTCTCAGTCCTGCGTGGTAACAAACCCCACAGAACTGGGAGGTAGAGAGCAGGCATCTTGCCAGCCACAGGCTCAGTGACCTCTTTCCACAATTATCCTCAAGTGATGAGACTCACTGCTTACCAGAGAGACCAGAGCTACTGACCACCATTACTATCACTGCTCAAGGTCCATGTCAGACCCTCACCCTCTCCACAACTCCTCTGTGGCCATCTCCCACTCAGATGCAGTGGCAGAGTGGTCCTTGTTTTCACGTCTCCAGAGTAGTTCAGACTCAAATAATAGGCACCC